TGGCTCAATAGGATATCTTGAACTCCAAGCGGTGTAGATCCAGCTGCCGCTGGCCGATGGATCTGCACCGCTTAGAGTTTAGGATATGTTTCCACTTTCCGCTCCTGCACAACGTACAGCGCTGTGCCAGGCCTCTACGCCGTCACTGGCAGTAGGCAGATCGATACCGCTCGCACGAGATTTTTACAAACAGCCTGAACCATCCTAATGTGATCAGCGACCTCCCAGAAAAAGCAAAAAAGTAGTGATACTGCTCCGTGGTGCAGTGGCAACAATAGCAGTTTAGTTCCGCATGGTTTGGGTTCGGTCTCGTGGAGGTGTGAAGTTTTGCTTTTGATGTCGCGAAGTTCCGCGTTTCAGATAGTTACCCTCCAACTTCAGAATCGTTCTTTCTCGTCCACAGGCACATGACTGTTATTCTTAACAGCCAGTTTAGGGCAGATTACTACCGTCCTAGATAAGGAGGTGTGGTTTCTACTTTGTGGTCGCTTCTGTAGCCTTTAATAGAGTACCTAGAGAGGAAATCCAAGCCGAACTATAGCATTCGAGGTGCTTGACTGGCATCGATATTCCTTTTTTTATTCCGATACCATGCACGAAAAAATTCCTTGGGGTCTTATTAATGTAATTTTCACATAGCTACGGCCAGCACTTCTGATACCGCCGCTCACTTCATCAGAGGCAACGTTTCAAGCGATTACCCAATGTCCCATTGCGCGACACCATCTCTCATGCCATCGGTTTCGCTCACAAGAGTACGAGAAATATTATCCGAAAACATTGGCTCACAGTTATAACAGCTTCAATCTTCTCTGAACCGAGACGACAAATATGTACAAGGACGACAAATATGTACAAGAAAGAGAATCAGAAGCCAATGGAGCCTCGCGAAGACTCCGCGTTTGCATGGATGTCCTCCTCGACGTGCTCTCTTCGCTATTTTATTCGCTGCTACCGAAGGCGGTAAATAACAGCTGTAATGAAATATGGCTGCTGATTATTCGGTAGATTTCTTATGTGCTCAAGCACTGGTCGCTACCCGCATGAAATCCTCAGGAGAATCCCTCTGATGCTTTTTAATCATTTCAATCACTCCACCGCGATTCATTCGAAGTAACCTCTATTTCGAAAAACGCGACGAACATTGAGTGCAGACCACGGACCACAAATGACGGCTCCCAAGAGGAAATTGGCTTTTTCTTTCCTTTTTTCCTTGGCCGCCGTAACTTGTGGTGTGTGGTCACACTCGACGCTCTTCTCGTTTTCCGAAATAGTGGATATGTTGTTTTGTGCAATCGTTCAGCCTCCAGTTGATAACCTGCTACATTGAAACTGGGGATTTGTATGGCCAGCCTTCGTCTTTAATGCCCTTAATGACGTCAAACAAATTTGCTCAACTTGCAAAACTCTGTCAGTGAGAAGGAATAGCCTTACTGCCATATCCAGTCATTTTGAACAATGCAATAGATGACAGCTTACCATGAAGTTCACATTGTTTATCGAATGGACTTAATTTTTCAACCTTGTGTACGAAATCTCAAGGAGAGGAATGAAACTAACTGGTCTTAATCAACATTTGAGAGCTTTGGAAGCTTTTGGTATGAAGATTTTGCCTTTTTTGAAGAATTTCGACAAAATTTCCATATGTCTTTATACATATTGGCCCCGTTAGTGGTCTGTGCCTAAGCTGTCGACATTTTTCGCCCATATTTTCATCTGCACATCCGACAGAGCTGCTCTATTTTTGCGAAAAGATAGGCTTTTCTTTAAGCCTACTACGCGATATTTCCGGAAACTTTTACAAATATTCTCTTTAACTTCCGAATTTGTGGTCAGCTTTCTCAGGCATCTTAGCATGTTGCGTTGGGTAAGCTTTTTGACAAAATTCTCTCCTGCTCCTTGCAATCAACCGACCTTCAGTAAAAACGCCTCAATTGTATTATACTTTGCTTTGATGTCGGATAACTATGTCGATGCATCCTCTTCATATAGCAGATATTGTCAGAACTTTGATAGAAGACACATTGGACCAAAAATTCTTTTGTTTCGGATGAAGCAGAGCCATCCACCAGATGAACACAACGGCCGCCATAAGCTACATACGGCCAAATGTGAAAGTAGAGCTGCTAAATGGTACGCCGGTGAAGGGCGAGGGAGGGGAAGGTGTTCAAGAGTGGGTTTTCGACGCCGTTGATAATACATTTATGCTGCAAGAGCATATTGTCAAAACAAAATTCATTAACGTTCAATTAGTGCACAACTCCGCTTTGGAAGAACCGCTTCTGTCCCGAAAGGTAATGTGTTCGAGACGACCATTATCATAAGTTCTTGCAGTGATTGTATTTAGTTGTGGATTCTTCCGAGGTTAATCCACCTAATCTGTACTTGGACTTCTTTGTTTGCATGTCCTTCTACTCTATGTATTCAATGTAGTATGATTTGAACTGCTTCATGACCTTTAATACGCGATATGTATGACTGACCTCGCCTGGAAAGGAACAGTTTGAAGGATATTGCGCGTACTGTATAGCACGTATTAAGCTATGTGCAACGCACGCTAGTATCGAAGAACGAAGAAAGGGTAATTAGCAAACTTACATCGGCTGCTCCTTGATATATGAAAGCACCGTGACGTCTTTTGGAACCTACAGGACTTCTTCGTTACGTGAAAATCGCAAAGCGAAAAATTTTGGCTGAGTTAACTCCCAAATCTTCGTTAGAGGCAGTCTCCATCCAAATCTCCAATGCGTATATACCATGGGAAATGATAGGAGTCCAATTCGTTTGAATCTTCGCAATGTGAGGTTTGGTCACGGCGACATCCTGCGACGGATTGCGCCTGAAGGGAATCCCGACGTGCAGAGGATATGGCAACCTCCCTCCTTCCCAAACTTTTGTGCCCACCAATTTTCAATATTGTACCTACATTTCCTGCACTTTATTATTACGGGGTTCTTGTTCGCTGGTAACATTCATATGAGGATGAGATATCGCCTCGCAGTTTCGTGAATAGTTTCATTATGGCAAGGCTGTTATGAAAGAGTCGCACAGTTACGTAATTAATGAAACAGCTCGCAACCCATTCTGAAAGTGAATTAGGTCGGAAGGCAGAACGCTGAAGGAAAACCGTGTCGGAGATAATCAACCAGGTCTGGAGATTGCGGATGGCAGTACATCAATACAGTGGAAAGGTAGATGAGCCCGTAGGCAATAGAATTGTCAAGCAGTTATTCTTCTTTGTGGTCGACATTCGGTGTTGATAAACACAGTGCGAGTGACTGCTGTGATGCTCACAGGGATTTCAGCCATAGTACAGAACGAGGGATGGGCGTGGACACATGAGACGAGCCGAGAGGCTTGAGCTTGCGCTGTTTTGACGCCTCCAACAATAGGATAAGACCGGCGCTAGGAGGGTGCAATCCGACTATGTGGTGTCTCACACTAGCTAGGCGAATGCGTCGAGATCATACTGGTAAGTAACGCCTGCAGTAAAATTAAGTGTCGGGTGACCATAGCTCAGAAAAGAAGGAAGATGGTAGAGGGCATGTAGAAAATGACAGAAAGAGAACGGTAGTAGGGCACGGCCATGGAAAAGCGTAGTGATTTTCAATACACACACGAAACATGTGTTTATCAATGAACAAAGAAAAACCACATTATAATACATTATTACTTCCATCAAAGTGCAGGAACTGTAGGTACAATATTGAAATCTGATGGGTATAAAAGTTCAGGAAAGGATAGGTTGTCACATTTTCAGGTCATTACGTCGAGCTTTCCTTCGATCTGCAAGTATGAAGGTCATCGCATTGTTTATTGTGCTATGTCTAGCGCAATCCATCACAGGATGTTGGCGTGCCCAGACCCTCACTTTTGGGAAATTCAAAGACATTGGCCTTCTAACATTTGCATACAAATATATGGGGGATATGGTTGAAGATTGGTTCCAACGAAAATTCGTAAGTTAACTAGGCAACTAAAGTTAACTAGGGTTCTCCACATTGTGATGTTCACATTGAAGAAAAATTTCTGCAGGACAAAAACGATCCATTCGGCAATTATAAGGTTCTCTCATATAAGGATGGAGGCCGATTCGAATTCGTTCATTACCCTTTCTTCATTCTGCAATACGATGAGGTACGTATCATATTACATAATACATGCTATCAAATTACACTACAGGCGGTGTCTTCAAAGTGTTCCTATCAATTATATGATCACATATTACAGAGGAGGGAAGTTTACAAACCATACTACTTTGAATACATAGAGGAGGAGGACAAGACAACAAAGAAGTTCACTCGCAAAATAGGTCCGTTGACCGAAGAGGAATTCACAACTAAATATAACCATTGCAAGAAAGTGGTGATAATGGTCGTCTTGAACAAAACTTTGTCCACTTCGATGAAAATAAATTTCGCAGTTGTGATATTGTGTAACCTTTGACTACCAACATTAAACGTGTGTTGTGCCAGAATTAGGCAAACATTTTTGGGACAGAACTGGCTTTTACAGAGCGGTGTGTGCACGAGTAGAACCTTCATGAATTTTGTCGTGAATATGTGCAACACCTCAAAGGCAGCGGTCGCGATAAATTCCAGTATTCACACAAGGGAAGATGCACAGTTAAAAAGGGTGGATGCCCAAGGATACGATAGGTGACGCTATCGCAGCAGAAGCGCGTGGTTGATGTGTTTTCAACAAGAGTCGGTGGAAGTCAGCAGGTAGGATGGAAACAGCTTATTCACACGACTTCGTCGAGGCCACTTCAAGTCCACTGTCGCGCCTACTTATACGGTGATATATGGACTGTAGGTGAGCACCCTCATTTTCGAGATTGGGTCAAAACCTCAGATTTGGCTTTGAAGTTGCGCTCAGGGGTAGTTTGACCCAATGAGTGCGAAGAGGTTATGGTTAGCAATAAAGTGCCTGCAGCATTCTCTATGGGACAAGGAAGATCTCAATACCTCGCATGAAGAAAACTCTTATTAGCAATGTTCCAGAAAAAGGGGAAGAGATCGAGATTGCTAAGAACTCATACTTACGATCTATTGTCTGCGAGCCGGTACCGCTGAAGCCGTCAATTTATAACTAGGATTAAGTAAATCGGAAGGCATATTCGAGATCGGCGCCCAAAAAACATCGATTGGTAAACGTTCCACTCCACTTTTTTCCTGTTCCCTTCCCTTCATTATTTGATGGTTTCACGAAACCGGTGTACTGGTGATCGGATACTAGCATCGAAATTCATCACTATCTTTCTCTGAACGGATTATGGTGCGATTTAATTGCTGCAGAAGATTTTCAATGAGAGCTGACAAACACGTTCACATTTGATATTGTTATGAAAAAGTCCCGTGCTTCGACGACTAGAATTCGTATCATGAACGAATACAAAGTGCAGGTTTTGATGAATTGAATTTCATGCGACTACATCTCTTTACTGAGCCACAACTGAGTAATATATGCAGGTGAACCTTATGGTTTTTATCCAGGAATACTTACATGCTAAGACGAGGGGAGCTATTGCACTCACTGATATTGTGGTGACATGCACAGCGGTAATTTTACACCGCACGGATAGGGCAGGGCAAGAGGCGTGAGAGCACCTTCGCGCGCTTATATCTGCTACCACTACGCAGGCTTTGTCAACAGGTGCAGTAAAAATACAATAAGAATAGTTTCTAGAGATCGCAATTGTGCATTACGCAATTTTCAAAATTTTTACGACCTCCTCCCTTTTGGTGAATAATCAGTACGACCCTCCTCCCTGCATCCGCTATTGTGCCTTTCTCCAAATTTTAGGCCCATCACTGGCTTTTACAGAGCGGTGTGTGCACGAGTAGAACCTTCATGAATTTTGTCGTGAATATGTGCAACACCTCAAAGGCAGCGGTCGCGATAAATTCCAGTATTCACACAAGGGAAGATGCACAGTTAAAAAGGGTGGATGCCCAAGGATACGATAGGTGACGCTATCGCAGCAGAAGCGCGACACCAACGGCGTGATCAGGCGCTGAAAACTCAAACTTAGACACCTTCCTATCGCTCCCCCTCCCTACCCCTACTGCCCCAACTTTCCAGATGTAGAGAAAACAATGGCAGCATGCTTCATGTGACACGTTATCCATATCGTTGGCATTTCATTTCTGTAATAGTGCACAGTGCATCTTCTTATCTTATTGTTTGTTATCTTTTGTGTGTAATGATCGTTCACCGGTTTTTGACGTTATCACTTCGTACTTCTTCAACGGCGCACCATGTAGCACCTTTGCTCCCACGTTTGTCCGGATTTTGTTAATCGCGACCGTAGCGTTTTGGTGGATCAACATAGCGATTTTTAGCCGAATGTGTCTCCGATCAAAGCTTTGCCAAGATTTGCTATATGAAGTTTCAGTGGCAGTGGCGCCTTATCAACGGAGTGATAAGGCGCCGAAATCCACTTCCGTTCAGCAAAAACCAAGACTTATCGATGTGGAAAGGGGTGCGATAAGAGCGTGCTAGATATGATACCGTTATCGTTATCGTCCCGTTTTCATTCTGGAGTGCACCTCTTATCAAG